CAAAAGAGGTTTCACGCCGCCATCTGCGGGATATTCCTCACAACAATGGAGTAAAACACATAAGAAAAAATATTTTTTACAAAACAGAAGAAAAAAATTAAATCAAGTAGGTTTTGTAGAAATTTGGCTACGCTGTCTTTCTTAAGTGAGTCGCTGTGTAAGTCGTGAGGAATTTCAGTAGAAAATATTTTACAGGTTATGCGTTCCGTGCAGCAGGAGGTGAAAACTCCTCCTTACCTGAATGTCAAAAATTGACTTTCATATGGGTTCATATAACTCAAATGTGTGTTCGTGTGGTTGTGCGTCTGATGTAAAAACCCATGTCGAAAATGGACAGGTGAAGGTTAATGCAATCAGAGAAGATTTTGTTTTGAGAACCTTTTAATGTGTTTTTTTTTGTACTTTTTTCTTTTGTTTAATTCGGCATTTTGGACGGAGTGTGAAGTGCTCATAATCGTTACATAGGTATTATAACTGAGATAAAAATATTTATATATATATTTATTTTTTAATCAGTGTTTTTACTAACGAACTAAATATATTTAAATTTGATTACTAATTAAATGCTTTCTTTTTCTCTTTATTTACAGGTGAGTTTTCGATCATTGTAAAATGTTAAGGTGTATAATTCAAGACACCGATAAAACTATATCAATCAAAAAGGTATTCGAAACTTAATTTACATTATGATTATTAATTAATTAATTTTTAAGTTTTGTATATTTAAAAAAGGTTTTGTAGGATTTAATATACAATAATGCACATTAATAGAAATGACTAACGATGTATAGCTCAGAGCAAAAATTACGATATTGTCTTTGACAATGAAAATAGGATTTCAGTCATTAAGTATGTAATCAGGCCAAGTAAGAGAAATAATATGTATAATATATTTTATATATATTCGTTAGAATACAATTTCTTTAAACTATATTTCAAAAACTGAAATAATATAAAATAGTTTCTAATATATATGGAATATAAATACTCAACATAACAATAATAAAAAATTAAAAAAATCATTATAGATAATTATAAATTCTATTATATATAATAAAAAACCATATATTGAAGGCGTAAACTTCATATAAATTGCTATATTAAATTGAGACAATATTTCTTAAGTAATAAACTCCTTAACTTCATTTAAGCAAGCAGTCAACACTCAACTTAACACAGATATAATAATAAATACTCAACTTAACACAGATATAATAGTAAATACTTAATATAATAATAATTATTTAATAATAATTAATAGTTAATGTTAGTAATATTTCATATAACAATTAATATTTTATATAATAATTAATATTTAATATAATAACTAATATTTTAAAAAATAATTAATATTTAATATAATAATTAATATACAATTCTATTAAATAATATTTAATATAATAATTAAATGCTTATATGCAATAATCAAATTCCTAGGTAACAAAATTAAAAGAACAAAGTAATAACGAAGTTTCAACTAAAAGCACCAAAAACATGAAAAAAATAAGAGATCATGATTTGGAATAAATGTCTATAGAAAACCTCTTTCACCTAGTATACTCATACTCCATTGAAGCACTATTTTTATAACCTTTTCGGTAAGTGACAAGAAGCAGTTAATATTATCTTTATGATACAAATTTAATCTCACAGTTCCATTCAGTTTTATATAAATTGCTGTCACTAACTGACTATCCACCAAAGCTTTATGTGTAGAAATGAACCTTAAGATTCGTAATAAATTATATACATATATTTCAATTTCACAGCAGCACTTAAACTTTTTTTAACCTTTATATGGTATTTTAATATATTTTAATATAAAAGAGTCTATGGAATATTATTCCATGTGTGTCACAAAATACGGTTACCAACTATATATTATCAGCCAAAATTTCGGTTTTTGGTCGCGCTAGATTAGTTATATATATTTTTATTTCATTGACTGTCGTTTTGAATCTAGTATACAGTGTTAAGTCCAGATTTCATCCATTGTAAACCGAAGCAAAGAAATTCTATATATGCTTAAATAGTTCCAAATAGTGATTGATGCTGGGAAAAGGCGGAATTCATTTCGATCAAATATATTGTGTGATCAAGTTGTTGTGTGAAATAGTGTTTATAATGTTTTCTAACAATATTAAGGTGTCAGCTATTGCCATTATTCTATCTGATTTTGTGAATTTTTTAACGTTTGCTGTAGTAAGCATCAAATTCAAGAACTCGGGGGGTTCAGTATTATCGGTTTCTGCATCGTCACGTTTAAATTAAGTAAATCGCGTACAGAAAACTGATTTCAATAGAGCCGATTTATCACTATACTTTAAAAGAATGTCATAAAATTTTGATATATATCACTTGAACGTTTTTTCTATCTAAAACTCATATTAATATTGTTAGAATGGTATTGTCTGATTGTTTTTTTATGAAATATACTAAAGAATCTGATATTTCCTTGCAGTAGAAGCTTACTATCAAACATTCTGTTTCACTTTAAATTAGTAATAATAAATAGCAACGTAGTTCTATTTTATACCCATTTATTTAGAAATATTTTATATATCATTTAAAATAAAATAGAAAGACTTGTTTCATAGAATGTTACATTGATTTAATATAACATTTATGATTGTATAAAAAAACCATGTTTTCTTTATTGTGTGTTGAAGGAGCATTAATATTACCTTTTAGTAATTAATATCAATAAGATTTTTACCTAAATAGATGGTATAATGTAAATAATTTTTAAAGTACGCTAAAAATTGAAACAAGCAATAAAATCATTTTTCTTCTATTAATTCTCTATGATATTACTAAAAAAACATTAAAGCTACTGGTATCCCTGAATCGAGTACCGCTTTGCTAGGTTATGAATTATATAAAAATCGGTAACAACGGTTCTGCAGATAAACTCACAATAATCGGTAAAGTTTTATACAATTATAACGAGTTTGTTGTGGAATAAGTTGGTTCATAACTTGATCTTCGATCAATATTCAGTAAAATTTGAAAGACACTACTTCTGAAGAAACACTTCAAGTATTAAACGTAATTACCGTCACTTTTATCTTTTTTTTTTTGCTTAAAGAGACAAACTCGTCCTCCCTCGAAAAAAGTTGATATTATTTGTAGTTAGCTGTTAGTTCGTCTTCATCTAGTCTCATAGTGTAAAACCGTTCAGCTTCGTTTTGACAGCAAGAGAACGTTAAGGCAGGAGGTCTTGACGTTATGAGGAACTTTTTGGCCTCCATTCCAAATGCTGACTGTATTTGTGGGGTAGTAAATTAATTAGTTAAACAGTACAGCCATATAAATATGAGAGCCCTTTCTATGAGGACAGTATGGTTTCTTTAACAGGAAGATTATATCAACTCCCATATCATTATTTATAACTGACCAATTTTGTTTTACCACAAAGAAAATACCAAGGTGTGAGCTCTTAACCATTTAAAACTACTATTCAAAAGGTTAAATTCTTTCTGTTGTATAATGGGTAATGCAGCACAGAAAGTTTTTGATGATCTCTGCTCTGCTCAACTGAGCGCATTCTCCTTGTTTACTATGTATCTATTTATTTCTATTGTAATCAACGATTTAGCCAAAAAACTGATATAAATAAATTGATTATCAAGTGGTGTCCAAAATTGACAAAACGGCTGATAGCAGTCATATTAATATGAGAATTTATTTGCACTTACCTCGATACTGTTGTATATTACAGCTAGCAGGATGCATTGATAAATGCAAGTTCTGCCCAGTACTAATGGAAATATTGCCGAATATATTAAGGTATGCCCCAATGTCTAAAAGCTTAATCATAAACAAGCCTGCATATAGACACAACCGATTTTCCGATATCTTCTCTTCGAGTGCCTGTAGGCATGTATTACAGAATATTTAAAAGGATAGGCTAAGCCTGACTTTATGATCTCTTGTAGTCAATTGTTTCGTTAGTATAGATATTTTAGATATAGTTACTCTCGATTTACTTGTATGTATTAAGTTGAAGGCCCTACATTTGAAGTATAAGCGTCATATGGGTTGATTTGGTTATATGGTTAAGGATTATAGAAACGATATTATCGATTATATATCGATATCGAAGGAATATAAGTTGATATTAGGGCAGATATTATGTTAGATACTTTTAATTTACTTCCATATAGTTCTTGATCTGGTTACTGAAGAAATATGAGCCTAATTTCTCTTTGCCTGTCGTAGAAAATTGTCAAATTCATAATATAAATTTCAGTATTGACTTAAGTTATATTAAAACCAACTATTTTCCGGATTTAATGTAGACTTAAGTTTGTCTTGAGATTCAAATTACGACTGAAAGTGTTCTTTAATTATACAATTTTAAGTTTATGTCTTTCAATGCAAAAGACGTTGATTTTATTATCCGCACCTTAATTTAAATCTTCCTAGTTGTTTTTTGAATAAACGTATCCATATATTCGGTCCTTAGCTGTGCTTCCAATACAACGCAATTGCAAATTTATATCTTTTGCCAGTGTTTTCTTTATCCTTCATATGTGATCAATAATTATTTGATTTTTTATACTAATTAATTCCTCTTCAACAATGTTTAATCAATAGTTATTCGGTTATATTTAGAAATATGGGTAAATATCATAAAATAAAATCGAAACCCACGCACACACAGATGTTACTACTTATAAGGTAATACATGCATATGTTCCAATATACAAATATACATAGACGTTACCGACGACGGTAAATGTAGAAATATCAAGTTGCGCTTAGCGCTGTGGTGGTACGAGTATAGAAGGCAAATGCTCATTTACAGGTGAGAGTGTGTAAACGATCTTAAGACCGCATTTTTTTGAATCTCAGATAAATTCGCCGGAGATTGTGTGAATTCGCCGTTGTATAATGTTTGTTTTTACCTGCGACGCGCTAAACTTTGTAACCAAAATAAATAAAGCCGAGTTCCATAGCATAGCATAAATTTGTTTTCTGTTTAATTTCTTACTTCGCCGTGTGCTCTGAAGTTGCCTGAAGAATCGTGGTAGTTTGCAGTTGTTTTGTATCTATGCATGTTAGTATCTGTGTGGCTGTGTTTGTACGTAAATTTGGTTATGGCGGTACTACTTACTTATTCGCAGTTATGAGAAGAGCGTAGATATTTTTTCTGAGCCAATTCAGTTTCGAGTTAAACGTTTGGTTGCGCAGACGCCGGACTTGTAGCGCAATAATTTTTAACGTTTTCAGTGTTTTGGATGCACTCACTCAGTGTAATTGCATATTTATGAAATCTGCATACAAAGCAAATTCAAATCAGACAAAACCGCAATACGTGAAATGCAACGAATTATTGCAACGCTTAAATAGGATAATAATAATAACAATTAATATTTTGTTTAATGTTTTTTTATAAATTAACAACTTTGTATGTTCTATGCAAAAAAATGAAATGTTAACTCGTATGTGCGGATACAGATAAAAGTTAGGCTGCAAGAAAGAAGTGAGCACGTCTCGAGGTGCGCAACCCGCGCTCAAATCCATAAACGAATGCAAAACTCGTTTCGAAAATTTGCCAAAAGATCTAAAAAAAATATATAAAATATAAAATAAAATAAAATAAAAGTGTTACTTTTTTTCGCCTGTTTGCGTGACTGTTTGTATGGCTCAAACGCGATTTAAAGTTACTCGATCGTATCTTTGTCGTCGTGCGGGTTTTAAGTGCAATTGAAGTTTGAAAACAAGTATACAAACAACCAAAACAACAACAAAAGGCTTAAAACATAATAAAAAAACAACTCAAACTGCAAGCAAGACTAACAGAAAATATCAAAACATTATTTTAAGTGCATTTGAATTTATGCTGAATTTATGTACGAAACCAATTACATATGCAAAATCATAAAATAAAACAAATCATAAAGTCGCACGACCAACACGACGAACAAAACGTCCTAATGACGTAAGTGCGTTTTTAAAAACGCTTCTTGTAAGAACAGAGTACAGAACGGAGAAAAGAACAGAACAGTTTTTGGTTTGAAAATTGTAGTAGATTTGTTTAATTTGTTGAGGTGTGAAGCATCTATGAACGTAAATAAACTTTTTTGTGGTGATCGTGTGCGGATAATGTCGAGTACACTAACGGCCATAAAATGAAAGGGTTCACATCAGTACAGCTGTTGCCACTCCTGCTTCTATTGCTAGCGATTCTATTGCAGTGCGTTTTGCAAGCGAATTCGGCGCGCGATCGTCACGCGCGAAATAATAACAATGAGGCACGCAATTATGGCGGCCGAAAACGTAATCAAGAACGTTATAAAAGCCACCCATTAACACGACAACGAAACGTTGGCAACAATGCACAACACACATCATCGACGACGAAAAACGGCGAGGATAATCACACCGAATTCGTTAAAGGAAAAAGTAAGTCTTTTTTGTTTTTGTCCAAATATGAAAAATCCATTGAGCGAAAAATATGTTGGAATGGAGATACCTTAAAGTCACTAGAACGAATTTCGTTCTAAAACTTACTGGTGATCAAAATGGAAGTACTTACTTGACTTCCAGTTACCTTCTCTATGACTGACTGATTTGAGTCAGGAAGAGGTCACTGGGTCGAGAATTAGTCTCCCCTTCTGATATTAGGAGGTCCTTAACGGCCGACATTCTGGCTTTCATTCGAAAGGCGGAATGTCTGCTGTTCGGTTAGGATCTGTTGCAGCACAAAAGATTAATCATAGTCGCAATGCTACGCTCCGCTGGGAGCTAATATTCCGTTTATTTCTATTCCTATTCTTAAGTACTTACTTGACTTACTTACTTAGTAAGTTTTGTCTATATATGAAAATTCCCATGAGCAAAGAATATATTGGAGCAAAGAGAATATATTGGATAACTTTAAGGATAATACATATATCTTCAAAGTTATTGGAACGAATTTCGTTCTAAAACTTATTGGTAATCAACAAGTAAGTCATACTTACTTACTTACTTAGTTAGTAAGTAAGTTTTGTCCATCTATGAAAATTCACATGAGCAAAGAATATAATATAAGTAAGTTTTGTCCAAATATGAAAATTCACATGAGTTTCCATGAGAATATGTAAGAATAGAGATTCCTGAAAGTTATTGGAACGAATTTCGTTTTAAAGCTTACTGATAATCACTGTTCAGTTGCCTGCCCTCATATAAATTATGAGCAGCACTAAAAGCTTCTCGTAAAATTTGGTAATAGCAGTATTAGAACTAGTTGTCTGAATTAGTTTCTGTATCGGAATTTCATGGTTTCCTGCTTAATTTCTTTTACCGAATATGCAAAGAAAAATAATATGGAAGTAGTTAAAATTTATTTTTTAATTATTGTTAAACTTAATATGCAGATGTAATTTTGTTTTTAATTTTTAAGTTGTTACGTGGAAAATATTTTAAAGTCGGTTTCGTTTTTTTTTTTTGGTTTTTACGAAGATGTCTATGTAAATTGCATAGATATTTTTAATATTAAGTATTCTCCTGATGAAGGCACAATAAGAATTTGTCAAAATACGTATAGAAATAAACTAAAAATAACGATCGAAGTAAAAGTTGAAATTCTTAAAAACAAAACCTACTTTAATAATATGCATATGTTTTTTCTGTTATACTTTTAACTACAATTAATAAACTTCAACTTGAAATATTTAACATCTGCACATATTTCTCTTGGTATATATGTAACTATACACAGCAAACTTCAAATTAAAAAAGAATCAAAAAAGTTATGATTTAATCTAAATCAATTAAATACCGTCTTAAAAAAATATAAAAGGGGTATTTCGACCAGGTATGTTAAGTGGCTATTCGACAAGCTAAGACCAGGTATGTTAACTTGATATTCGGCAAGTGAGGTATATTAACTTGGTATCAGACCAGGTATGGTAACTAGATACTCGATAAGCTTTTACGAATGAATATGTTTTGTGAATTTATGAACAATTATCTCATAAAAAGAAATTATACTTCGATTTTTCCAAAGATCGAAAAGATGGTCTATTTTTAAAGCCAATCTCTTGGATTGACAAAGAAGATTATTCTTTAATTGTCAAAATAGTACTAAATACTAAATTTGAATTGGGTACTTCTCAAATGTTACAGTAATATTTTGAATACTACAAAAGCTATCTAGGATATGTATTGTTTAGGAGTCATACTATTATAAGATTGCTAGTTAATAAATTGTCTTCTTTGGGGACAAATTATGGAGTTAGTAAATCTTCTTTTAACTTAAATCCTATCTTAACATCAAGTAATGAAAATTATTTCTATCTTTGAGATACGTATATTGCAAATACAATATTTAAATTATTTAATATATCGATTTTGGTTTAATAGAATACTTTATAATATAAATAATATCTTAAGTAACAAACATCTACTGCAATTTATTTCTTTTAAGATAAAAGATTTACTTGAGTTACTGGAAAAATTTCTTAACTTGAAGTTAGCAGTATTAGTCTGTATCTAATTAGTCCCTAGTGTATATGAATATCTTTTTACATTGTCGCAGTTTAGTTTTTTATACTAATAAGAGAATTACTAATAAGTGTTTTCACATCAACAAGACTAGTTTTCTTTCTTTTGCACGAATAACTTCAAAACATTTATGAAACTTTAATAAAAAAAAAATAGTCTATACAAAAAAGACCATAAAAACGTTAAATAAAAAATTTAAAGTAAGGAAAAATCTTCCAATAAGAACGTTAAAGACAATATGACACAGTCTTAGAACCTTTGTACTACAAATTATAATCGAAACTAAAAACAATATCTTCTCGAAACTTGTTATAATTTTTACAAATAAAGTACATTTTATTTTGATAATGTTGTACTTTCGAGCAGTACGAAGAAAACCGATATGAAATAATTTTTATAATATAAAATATGGTCCTATAGGTTTCGCAGTACCTAAAATCCAAACCTTGTTCTTCATTCTTTGAGATACCAACTAGTTCAGTCTGTTCTGTACAGACTCATTATATATATTAAACTATATGAGAATTATTAAGTAAATTTTTGTCATATTAATTCACTCTATTTATCACAACAGAATTTGCTTTAATAAGCGATACTATGTTATTTTTTGGTCTTTTATTTACTATTATTGTTACTAGCCAAGTTCTAGCAATTGCTTAACATAATTTACTTAATTCAACAATTTCATTTTCCCTCATATTCTTCCTCTGAACAGTTTTGTGAGTATGGCCTCTTAATTTTTTAAAGTAATAAAATGTTTATGATTCATTAACTGTAACTAAAATATGCTTAGTATTCTTTCTCTGGTTGATAGGCATCAGTGGAGTAGTTGGAATTTCACCAATATCGATCGGGGTTAAATAACTAAGAAGTGTGGATGACATCAGTAACACTTTTTTTTAAAAACAGAGAAAAAAAGGTTTTAATTAGGAAAAAATTTAGCTAAGCTGACTTTTTTTCCAAAAAAATTGTTTTTCTTACAAATAGACAGTCTCTTCCCTAAAATGATTGGTGTTCTTCCAAAAATGTGGCAATCCTTTCACAGAGATTATTTTTTTCTAGAAAGATTGTTTTTCTTACAAAAAGACTGCCTTTTTTCCAATAAGATTATTTTTCTTCTCAAAATATGGTATTTCTTCCAAAAGAGATAATCTTCTAAAAATATGGAGTTTTTTTTCAAAAATGATGGTCTAGCGTATGCAATTAAGCATTGTTTTTGCTTATTGTCTTCTTTTTACCATAGTTACCAAGAGGAGGGACTTAATCATACTATATTTATCGAAAACTTTCAATTCTACTCCGTTTTGTTATTGAGAAAAATGTACTCATATTATATAGTACTCATATTATATACTAATTCCTAAAAGGGAATATAACTTAATTTTACTAAAATTTTATTACTACTTTTAATAACTTTTTGAATTTAATGTGTCAATAAGCATATTTTAATATACCCATTAAACGCATATTTTAGTGAATTTCTAATAAATAAAATTAAAATAATTTGATAGTGCCACTATTGTAATCATACAGAGGTTAGTACAGATCAAGATGATCAAGTGATAGGTTATATTCGTATTTAGGTCATCGTATATCGTTTATGATAATATTGTGCCATTTCGAGCTATTTTTGAAGAATGTAGGGCAATAAATATATTTAGACCTACTTTAGCGTGAGTCTACAACTAGCGAGCATGTATTAAAGTATACATTATAAGTAGCATTTTAATACACAGAGCATCTGAATATATTTTCATAATCATAGTATAGGATTTTGAATGTATTTCGACTTTAATGCTAAATTTATCCTTTGTTATTTCTATATTACATACAGATATACCTATACATTAATCACAATACCGCTTATCTAGATCAGATTAGATTAGATTTTGACATGTATCATCATGTCACTGCATCCTTTGAGGATTATTATGACAAACCCACTATAGTTCCATAGGCACGTAACAGTTTAAAATGCCATTATGTTCTTTGGAGAGATGTTGCCTAATTCCATTATAAGTTAATAGGCACTTGATAAGAACCGAAGTCAATGTGACATCAAATGTGTTCTGCTGTTTTCTATTCTTCTTCTTCTTCAAGATTAGAGAGATGTCCAGTTAGAAGCGTCTCACCAGATGACCGACTAGCTAGAAATGCTCGATAGGGGAGCTAGGGACCTACTAATATTCAATATCCAGAACTGGCTTTAGATCGATTCGGCATGAATTTTTTAGCTTGTCTGCAGACAATTACATTATCCTAATTACTTAGATTACCACCTATCTAGTTTGTTAGTGCTTTACAATAGGCAGAAGCTGAATGTATTCCTGTTTTAGGTCTCCATTCCCTAAATTTCCATTTAATTTCTCTAATTTAGGTATCAAAAATATTACACATTATATAAAAACCATGGTTAGCGTACCTTAAGAAACATATAGTATTGTATGACTATATAGGTTAGTTCTTTGGACTTAAATCAAACGCGTTTCTTGTGAGGTGGTCTACCTTTGGTAAATACCATCTGCATAAATGTGTGTATAATAATAATTTACTAATTTAAAATTTTTTATTTAACATAACATATTTAGCAATACTAAGTTCAAATTTATGAACATAGTTCAAATCAAATTAATATAATATCAATGCTCTATAAAATCTTTTAAAATTACCACCAATTGACTTTTTGTAGTGACTTTATTGTTATTAATTTACTATAATTAAATGTAATTAAAGTATTAATAATAATTATAATAATTTAACTATTCCTATTATATTTCAAAGTGACTTTTTGTATTAAGATTTATTTAAACGAATCATTTTAAACATTTAAAGAATATAGAAACAACAGATTCTATAGTAAAACTATTTTGAAATTAATTTGATCTTAGTTGAATTTATATATTAATATAAAAATA